CGCTGTGCCACCACCAAGGAGGGCCAATCATTTTATTTTCATTGAAATTACATAAATGTACTTTTAATAAAAATTACTCTTAGTTGCATTTTCCAAAATTGTTAATTTTAGCTTCATTTGGAAAAAAATGTTTTTTGAAAACATTTCTTGCATAAACCAAATCCATAATGTGTTGTATACGATTTTTAATTCTGGTTTCTTAAATTAGAGGAAGAATTTGAAAACTGCTATAAAACAATTTTTGGGTAGAATCCTTGTAAATTCTTTATGACAATTTCCCCAATCTTTTAAACTTTTTTTCATCTATACCCGATTCTGCATTAGTTTTGGTTAGCAAAATGCCTTGAATCTCCAAAACTCTTTTGACTTTATTTTAAAAAAGCTCACTTTGGTTTGATACTTATACTTCACTGGTTTTATACAAAAGTTTTAGTGTCTTAATACTTAAGAGCAGTATTTGGCATTTAGTGTAAATGTCATTTGTATAAGTATTTGAACAAATGGCGTATATAACTTTGGAAACAAAATTGGCCCCTTTTAACAGCAGTGCTCAAATTTTAATGTACACAGTCACCCAAAGGGCTTGTTAAAACACATTGCTGGGCCCCACATCCTGGATTTCTAACTCGGTAGGCCTGAAGTGGAGCTCTAGAATTTGCATTGGTCTTAACAAATCACACTTTGAGAGCCAATGTTTTATAAGCATGTAATCTGTCAATAGGAAAAGTCCACAGGTGTTCTAGAACACAGGTGTCCTACCAAGTCTGCGTTATAAACAAACTGCCCAAGTGGTGCGAGAGAAACACGCAGATTCATACTGCACCGGCCCTCCCACAGCCTGGAGTATTTTTTTGTATTCTCTGCATCAGATCCCATCTTGTCAGAGGGAATGAAAAGTGTTGACTGATCAGGAGTTAGTTATGTGGCAGTCAACTAACAGAGCTTCTTCACAACTTTATTAATGCCTGATCTAATGTCAGATATTCTGTTCTGAAACATTCTGGAAAAGGGAGTTTGGAGTATATGGCTTGGACATCAGGCCTAAGCAGAGCCTCCAGCCTCTCCTGGCTTCACCAGGGGCCAACACACTCAGGGTCCCTCTGAGGGACAGAGATGGCTGGGTGCAGCTTCATACCCCAGGGTGGGCAAGAGAAAGTTCAAGAAAGAGATAGAGCCTGGGTCTCTGTATTTGAGGACAGTTGTCTGCCCACTCATCACTGTGATACTCTCACTGCCCTGGAAATTGAAAGTCAGATTAGCAGGTCCTCTCTTTGGATATACTAAGAAGTGGGTGGCTGGAGGCAAGATTGGCTGACAGATTTTTGACACCCATGAAGTGGCTGTAGAGGTCCAGTATGAGGAGGTTGGAGTGGGGGAGAGCCAAGTGCTTAAGCACAGCAAGTCACAGCCTGGCCAATTCCTTGTCACATAGACTGGGGCACGGGCCAGGGCTTGGTATGTTTGATCTCAGTGTCCCCAGTTACTTTGATCCATTGCTTTTTGAAAGATAAGCGGTGAACTTTTAGGAGGATTTGGTGTTAGTGCAGAATTCATGCTCTGACTACGCTGCAGCAGCTAGCTAACTCCCTACAACATTTGCATCCCAGGCTAAGGACTGCCCTGTGCGACTGTGACTGTGTGTTAAACCCATGGATGTTAGGTAGATGCTATTTAGGATGAACTATTTAGGGTGGGGAATTTACAAAAAGTATACCTTAAAGAGAAACTTAGTAAAGACTGAGCACAAAGAAATAAACAAAATGCAGATAATTACCCTTTAAAAACCTTTAATTTTCCCCCTTTATGTCTTTTCATTATTACGTTAAGTTTGTCGTTTTCTTCTCTATGCACAGCTTCACCTTGTTAGAAATTATCCATATGTGTTGATTTTGCAGATTTTAGTTCCTTAGTATCTAGTAGTTTTCTATATGAAAGTAACCTAAAACATTGTTTTTAAAAATATTTAATACATAAATATATAAAACATACAAATATAAAAAATTAACAAATGATCTATAGATCTCTTTCTCCAATTAAAAGCTCAAGTGTACAGCTAACCCTTGAACAACAGGGGCTGGAACTGCGAAGGTCCCCAGTACATGGATTTTTTTTCTCTGTGTTGGTTTCCTTATTTGCCCAAAGGGTGGACGTCAGTTGAGTGAATTCTGAGTGGTGGAATCCACTTACAGGGAGCTTTTTTCAAATTCAAGACAGGTCAGTCTGCCTAACTCCCACATTGCTCAAGGGTCAACTGTACACAGAAAAGCACTGTCTAATATGTAAATTTTTTAAAAAGATTAATTTATTTATGCATACAGAACTGGGGTACAGGCCAGAGATGCAGGGGCTGTGAGAGGATTCACCAGAGATAGAGAGGGGAGCAGAACAGGAAGATTAATGAAGTACACTGCTGAGGGGAGCAGCGGGCCTGTCAGGAGAGGTCTGCCGCGTCATGTGGTCACTTCCGGTCGGGTGGGGATCGAACTCATGCGGAAGTGGCTTTAGCTTCTTAGTGCTGTGTTTTAACCCGCTGCGCCACCAGGGAGGGCTTCATACGTGAACATTTTTAAAGGGAAAACAGTCTAAAAAATAAATAAACAATCTATTGTCTCAACAAAACAAGCATCTTTATCTCTGTATTCCAGTCTTGGCCATGGCGTTATAGCTTACCTGGCTATAATTACTGTAAATATACAGTTTGAGGAACTGCATTTTGCACTAAGTTGTATTTGTCCTCCTATTTACAGTTGTGCTGCAATTACAACGTCAGTGCCTGTCTCATGCTCAGAATGGGGCCCTTGGTCTTCCCCCAAAAAACCTACCCCACCCATACTTCCCCACTTCTGTTAATGCCAGCTCCAACTTGTCAAGTCATTCGCACCAAAAGCCCTGAATCTGGGGAGAGTCAGCCATTCTTTAAAATGATTTATTTATTTACGCATACAGAACTGGGGTACAGGCCAGAGGTGCAGGGGCAGCGAGAGGCTTCACCAGAGACAGAGCGAGGAGCAGAACAGGCAGATCGATGAAGTACACTGCTGAGGGGAGCAGCGGACGGGTCAGGAGAGGTCTGCCACGCCATGTGGTCACTTTCGGGTCGGGTGGGGATCAAACTCATGCAGAAGTGGCTTTAGCTTAAATAGTTATTTTCGTGTAGAAAAGCTGAGGTGTAGGCCAGAGGTGGGAGTTGGGGGGGGTGAGAGGTTCCACTAGAGACAGAGTGGGGAGCATAACAGGCAGATCTACTGAAACACACTGCTGAGGGGAGCAGCAGCAAGACAGGAGAGGTCTGCTGTGCCATGTGGGTCACCGCCCAGGCTGGGAATTGAACTCAGAACTTAGGTCATCCTGGTGAGCCCCCAGAATCAGCCTAATCCCTCTTTTACTCTTGCTCACCTCTAAATCAACAGTAATCCTGTTCACCCCACCTTCAGAATATTCCCATCATATTCTCAGGGCTGCCGTACCACTATCCAAACACAGGTGACCTCAAACAGCATAAATGCCCTGCTCATGGTCTGGGCACCAGGCATGGTGGCTTCCTCTGCCGCCTGGGGCATTAGTCCTTTGTGTTCTTGAGCCAGCAGCTGCCTCACTCAGACCTGTCACCACCTGGTATTCCCTCTGTGTTTCTGTGTCCTCACATGGCTTTTTCCTCTTATGAGGACACCAGTCATATTGGACTAGGGCCCAGCCTAGTGACCTCAGCTTCACTTGATTACTTCTGCAAAAGGTATTTCTAAATAAGGTCACATTCTTAGGTAACTAGATTAAGGCTCAGCCTGTCTTTTGGGAGGACAGAATTCACCTGAGCAGCACTCTCTGCATACCTGCATCCTGATTTAGACATCTGTGTTTCCTTTTTGGGTTCATTGTAGTAGCCTCCAAGCTGGCAGGCCACAGCCATATTTGCCCTCTATGGTCAATTTTTACCTCCTCTGCTCAGAACCCACCAGTGACTCCCAGGATACTCAGAGTAAGAGCCAAAGGCCTTGCCATGGCCCACAGACCTCTCCTGACCCGTCCGCTGCTCCCCTCAGCAGTGTGCTTCGTAGATCTGCCTGTTCTTCTCCCCACTCTGTCTCTGGTGAAGCCTCTCACCGCCCCTGAGCCTCTGGCTTGTACCCCAGTTCTGTATGCACAAATAAATAAAAATAAATCTTAAAAAAAAATAATTCATCCGATATTCCTGAAAATTTTTGTCATATAGGTAATATCACAGTGAATATGTTTTTGCATGTAGTTAATTCCCCTGGGTCACATTTCCAGGGTGAACATTGTCAAATTTCTTCCCAAAAGGATTTTTTTTTTAAAAACCCTTTTTTTTTTTTTAGATTTATTTATTTATTCATACAGAACTGGGGTACAGGCCAGAGATGCGGAGGGTGAGAGGATTCACCAGAGACAGACTGGGGAGCAGAACAGGCAGATCGACGAAGTACACTGCTGAGGGGAGCAGTGGGCGGGTCAGGAGAGGTCTGCCACGCCATGTGGTCACCTCCGGGGCAGGCGGGAATCGAACTCATGCGAAAGCGGCTTTAGATTCTCAGTGCTGTGCTTTAACCCGCTGTGCCACCAGGGAGGGCCCCCAAAAGGATTTTTATTGACTTAGAATACCACCCACCATTAGTGATTCTCTTTCCATGCTGCCTTACCAACAGTGGGTTTTATCTTATCTTTATTTTTGTAGTTTGTTAGGTGTAAGTGTTCTTTGTGATGGTTTTGATTTGTATTTCTTTAACTTTTAAATATAATTGTTCATTTGTTCTATAATTTAACTTCTGGTATAATTAAATCTAAATTCCTGGCTGGCTAGCTGGTTTTCTGCCCTTCCTTCTTTCCTTCCTTTCTTTTGTGGGAAAGAGGCCGTGGATTCATTTTTATATAGCCATACGCCTTTGGGGGCAACAATATTAATCCTTATTTACATTTGTTATAAATATGCTTCCATTTCACCTGTGTTTGCAGTTCCACTTACAATCTGTTTTTTTTCTCTACAGCTGTGGACTACTGTGCCTTAGAAAACCATGGGTGTGAGCATGAGTGTGTAAATGCTGACAACTCCTACTTCTGCCAGTGTCCTAAAGGATTTGCTCTTAATCCCGATAAGAAGACATGCACAAGTAAGTTATGCACAAAATTAAAACAAAAACAAACATTTGATGCTATTGCTATGAGTAGTGTGACCATGGAGATTTTCCAAACATAGATTAGTATATGATTATGTGCTAGGGATCTAGTGCCTTCTGCCCCTATTTCTCCTTTGTTGTGCCTTCCTTAACCTCCCCAAGACGGTAAACCGCTCTACCTCACATTACCCTCAAGGCAGTTCATGAAGGTCCTTAGTCAGCAACACTCGTGGGTGGATCTTCCTGCGTCTGCTGCCTGTACTAATAATCCAGCACCTTCCTTCACACGGGTCAGCCTCTGTGACCATTAGTATGAATGGGGCATTGAATCTTTGTGGCTGTGGGCTTCAGCTAGAAACCATACAAGTACAGGAAAATTGCTGATCCAAAAGAAGATAAATGTGGTTGCTCCTGGATAGGGAGGGTGAGGGCAGGGAGGATGGTTTGCAGAGAACTGCTAATACTTTGTTTGAGCTACTCAGTTTTATTTGAACTATGTACAAGTCAGAAACAGTTTGATCTCCCAAAATCAACCATACAAAGTAAAAGTGATCATTAGTTTTATAAAAGGATCCCAAAAGCATTCCTTTAAATGTAAAGGTATGTCAGAACATACAAGGAATAATGTATAGACCAATATACCTTGTCATAGAGGGATTCTCCAGAGAGAAATTTGTCTTTAAAGTATTCACATTTTTAAAAAGTTAAATTTGCTGTCAATAAATAAAACATTTCTACACATAAATCAATCAGAAAGCAGGATTTCAATTCGTAAAAAGTTCATGCACCCACAACCTTACACAGTTTTATAAAAAGCATCCCCCAAACCTCCTGAAATGTAAAATTTTTCTTCATGGGATGGTAAGTGGCACATTAATTCAAAAACATATCTGGAGCCCTAGACATCTGCCAGTGGAAATGAACAGGGGTAGGGCCTTCCTAGAGGAGTGATATCTTGGCTGGCTGCTGTAGGTACAGCTATCATTCTCCAGGCAAAGAAGGGGTCCAAGAAGATGAAAGATGTGGAGAGATACCAGATAGGCTCATGGCCTCACCTGGCACATTACTGGCAGGCAGTTGTTTATTGAGAAAATAAGTGCATGAATGAATGGATGGCTTGTTCCTTGTCTCCTTTCTGTCATAGTGTCTGAACCATAAACCAGCAATACGGTAATTTGGGGGGTTGTGGTTGCAGGACTGTTGAGTCAGTTCTCTCTGTCAAAGGAAGCTGTGTGCTATCAAGAGGCAGCCTTGGCCTTAGTTCAAATCCCAGATACTCTGCTTTTTTTGCTGGGTGATCTTGGGTAAGTTATTATGCCTACGTTTCCTCAACTGCAATAGAGATGACAATACTACCTACTTCACAGCAATTTCCTAAAAGCTGAGTGAGATAATCCATTTAAATCATTTAGCAAATTGCCTGGTGCAAGTAACTTAGAGTAAGGGAGGATGCTGGCTTCAAAGACTTTAAATGGGTATTTACTGAGCATTTACCACATGTTGAGCTAAGCTTTTGAGTGTATGAACAATTCCAGACATGGACACAGCTTTCACTGGACACTGCTGGGGGACACGAGCCACATAGAGCAGCTCAGTCACCTTGCAAGTGACGTGTGGCTTTAGTAGCCACAGTGAGATGCAGACAAGACCCACAGCAGGAGTTGGGGAAGGAAACCACTGGCACTAGACCAGGCGGGCATGGCATTGCCTCCCAGGTTGAGTCCTGGAGGAAAACATTTGACCTGTTCAGTTTCCTTTCTGCCTCTATTGCGCTGGAGTCACCAGTTCCATTGCCAGCTCCAGTTTCCAGAGTCTCACTATGGCCCCCATAATATGCATTAGCATGTCTCCTATCCCAGAATCTCTTGGGTTATGGAGCATTACATTCCCCAGGGTGGTACAGGCAAGGAAACCAAGGAAGAAGGCACTGCCAGGCAGGGGGACTGGGAGAGGAGCTCTGGCTGGGGTCAGGTGAGGAACAGATCCAACTGTGACTTGTTCCCCACAGTCCCTCTGTCTCCTGGCCTTGTCTGAGTCAAGATCTAGAGGTGGGCTTGTGGAACATGTAGGCAAGGAGTGGTGGGCAGTCACAGGGGTCTAGGGCAATGGCATCAGGGAGATGGGCTCCCAGGGGAAAGCAGGTCAAGGAGCCAGGTCTGGCAGGATACTGCCAGAGAAAGGCAACTCTTTTTGAGTTCTTGAAAAGCTGTGACTAGGACATGAGGCAAAAGCTGGATTATAAGAACTGGAACACTTGGGAATGCTCCACATGTGTGACAGCGACAAGAGCAAGAACAGGAAGCTAAGGGGCTGTTACAATGTCAGAAACACAGAGTGGAGATTGGATCTCAAAATTCACTAAGGAGGCGTCACCTCAGTTTCCAGACAAGTCAACGTGGTTGCTGCTGCTTGTTAGGAGATTTTTTTTTTTCATTGTTGTGAAAGAATCTATCATTAAAACAAAAGACATCCTGCTGAGTGGGAGAAAATATTTGCACATCATGCTAACATCCAAGATTTATAAAGAACTCATTAAACTCAACAGCAAGCAAACAAATAACAATGGCCTCCCTGGTGATGCAAGGGAGTAAAGCACAGCACTATGAAGCTGTCAACAGCCACTGCACATGAGTTCGATCCCCAGTCAGTAAGGTGACTCACATGTGCAGCAGACCTCACCTGACCAACCCACTGTTCCCCTCTGCAGTGTATTTCAGCTCCCTGTTCTGTTCCCTTGCTCTGTCCCTGGTGAATCCGCTTACCCCTCCCCCTCACACCTCTTGCCTGTATCCCAGTTCTTATATGTATATATAAATAAATCTTTTAAAAAAGAAAAGAAAACAAATAATCCAATCAAAAAAAAAAAAAAAAAAGATCTGACTAGAGTATTCTCCAAAGAAGATACACAGGTGGTCAACAGACACATGCGAAAATACTCATCATTGCTTATTATCAGAAAGCTGTCAATTAAAACCACAATGAGATATCACTTGTGAAAATGGCTTATGTCAAAAAGATGACCAACAATAAATGTTGACAAGGATGTGAAAGAAAAAGGAACCCTCTTAGGCTGTTAGTGGGACTGATCCAGCTCTTAAGGAAAACATATGGAGCTTTTCACCACATTAAGAAGATATCTACCATATGATCCAGCAATTCCTTCTAGGTATCTATCCAAATAATATAAACACACTAATTCAAAAAGATGTATGAAGGTAGGGGAGAACACAGGGGCTATGGTGATGGACTATAGGTTCTATAAAAACTACAGTGATACACCCGAGGGGAGAAAGCTATTTACGAGGAAACAACCTGAATGTCTACTATAGATGAGTGGATAAAAAATATGGCATATACTCAGTGGACTACTACTTGGAAATAAAAAAAAAATTATCTTTTGGTAGTACCAACAACCACTTATTCCTTTAGCAAATATTTCTGTAAGCCAGATAACTATTGTAAGCACTGAGCATGCAATGGAAAATAAAACAAACAAAAAAACTTACCTGCCTCAGTGAGCTTTCATTTTATTGGGGCAGGATAAGAGATGAATACAGGTATCGGAGAGGGACATTTGATCAAAGGTGGGAGGAGACCTCTGAGGCAGAGGAAGCATAACATTAGTTCAGAGGCCCTGAGGCAGGAAACATGAGGCCTCAGTCCTGAGGGACAGCCGAGGAAATCCACATGACTATGAGAGAGTGAGAGGTGGAAGTGGAGTTAGGCCCCCAGTGAGCATATCGCCTGTCCCCTTCAGTCACACATTTGCTCCTAGCTCCCCAAATTCTAGCAACACTGATGAGCTCTGATTGATTCCTTTACATTGCGATCCCAAACTGATTTTGTTCTGTTACTCATATTTTGTTTTGGGTATAGGCATCTGAAACTATACATATTGTTCCCGGAAATGTTCCCTGATTATTCTCCAAGTTATGAGGGACCTCCCACATTGTCCTTTTCGCTATAGTTCTGCTGTTTTCCATGGCAACTAGCTTCAGAATTAGAAATGTACATACTTATTTTTAATACATTTAATAATGACAAAGCTCCATATCATATTGTTAAAAAAAAAGCTACTCCATACAGAAATGTGAAAGATGAAATGATCTTTATCTTTAAAAGATAACCTTTGCTACCCTAATTTTTAAAAAAGACATTTTAGTTATTTGTTAGAGTTGGGATCATACACATAACATTAAATCATGACCATTTTCACCTGTCAAAACATTTTTTTATAATCAAAAATATTTTAATGTCTGCATAATAGTGTGTCATATCTAGAATCACAATTTGGTCAAAAATTTTTTTGAATGTTTTGATTGTTTTGTGATCAATATTCTTGCCCTTAAATCTGCATTTCTGATCATTTTCTTAGGAACAAAACTTGAATCAAAGATTATTAATACTTTAAGTATGTAACATATAGTGCAAAATTATTTCAAAAATCTACTAATGTATTCCTACCACAAGTATTTTGAGGAAGTGATATTTTTTTTAAAGTTTTGCTAATATGCTAGAAAGAAATTTTCTCCTTATTTCATTTGTCATCATATCTATGGTAAAATGAATTTTAAGAAAGATGCCAGGGCAATTCATGAGGGAAAGGAAATTGTTTTCAATAAATGGTACTGCAATATATACTAAACTAAATCAAATTGGGAGACTAAAACTAAAATCAAATTGGGAGACTCTTTAAAAATGGTAATGTCATAAAACAGAAAGAGGCTGTGGACGAGTTGCAGACTATTGCTATCCAATAGGACACACTGTGCTGTTGACTAGCAATACAGAAGGCTACAATACCAAAGTCAGAAGCTGCTGTGACTGCTGGACATGTTAAAATGTTTCCAGTGCAATAGAGGAGCTAAATTTTTAATATGACTTAATTGTAATCAATTTAATTTAACTAGCCATGTTAGATGAAAAAAGGCTATCTCAAACTAAATATAACTCTGACCCTACTTGGATCTTGTACTATGACTAGAGTACTGTTAGTAGGTTAAATAAAGAGATATCAGAGTGAACTTACGAAGTTTACAGCTATTCTCTAGTTCTCTTAGGAAGCACATGTTCTATTAATGGGAAAAGGACTGAGATACACAACTTGACTTCTAATAGTCAATGTTAAATAGTCAATAGCAAAGTGTTAGCAGTAGATGAATCTGGATACAGAATATACAGGTGTTTCTTGTACCAACATACTTGTATTTTTATGCTTGCAACTTTATGTTTAAAATAACCTGCAAAATAAAAGGTTTTTACAGATCTTTTAATGGGATTGTCAGATTACAGTTACATTTTTTTTTTTTTTTTACAGTTACATTTTTAAGAGTTGTAGTCTTTTTAAAATACATTATGAGGGCCCTCCCTGGTGGTGCAGCAGGTTAAAGCACAGCACTGAGAAGCTAAAGCCACATCAACATGAGTTCGATCCCTGCCCCAGAGGTGACCCGTATGGCCCAGCAGACCTCTCCTGACCCGTCCACTGCTCCCCTCAGCAGTGTACTTCATCAGGCGGCCTGTTCTGCTCCCCACTCTCTCTGGTGAATCCTCTCACTGACCCTGCACCTCTGTCCTGTACCCTAGTTCTGTATGCATAAATAAATCTTTAAAAAATATACATTATGAAATGTTTATGAACAAAATAATGTCTCAAGTTTACTTTGAAGTAATATGGAATCCTAAAATCGAGGATAGGACTATAGACAGACTAAACAAGGTCAACCTTAGGTTGAGTCTCATGAAATTGAGTGATATGTACCTAAAACACACCATTTTATCTATTTTTGTATGTATTTAACTTTTCCTTAACTTTAAATTGGGAACCGTTGATAATCTCAATGTTTTTACCTTCAGGAGTATTTTGTGCTTTTCTCTTACTCTTTCCTTTGTACAGACTAGAAGAACCCTCATATAATAATAATTATCTTTAATAGAGTAGGATAATAATAATAATAATAAAATAACCTTTAATAGAAGTTTCCAAATGTAAAACATACAAGTAAAATCTCATTTTTTTTAAAAGATCCTTGTAATTTTTTTTCCTGAATATTGTGGTTTAAACTATTTTTAAATTAGTAATTTTAAATTATTAATATTTTGTTTTAAATTAATCTCTAATGACCAAAAAAAAAAAATTCTCTAATAACCTAGCGATCATACTCGCTGACGAAATTTCAAGATAAATGATTCCCACTTCCATGCATCTGTAACAAGGAAGGCCTTTTGTTTTAAAGTATGTATGCCTTTCATGCCTCTGCCTTCCTTTTCCCAGGAAATGATTTTATACTCTATGGCACAGTGTTTGAGGAATTTAAGTGGCTTGGAGTTTGACTTTGGAAAGATTTCATTGTACTCATATTTTAAATGAACTAATTCAATAAGACATTCAGCTTAGCTCTCTTTTTTCCAGCCTATGATATAACAAACACCCATCACACTCATTCATGTTAGTGACTTTTACAATGCCCAAGACAAAGAAAGTATCTTCCTAAATTCATTTGTTGCATATACATTTTGTTACATGGCCAGAAAGTTCTCTTACATAGATCCCTAAAATATGGAAATAGCTTCATGAGGAATACTTTCATGACATAAATAAGAAATCATGGGAATGTATCTGTTTAGAAAAAAATTAAGGCTGGCAATCTCTTGGTTTTTCTTTCTTAAACTGTTCTGGTCTTCATTATTCCCATTTTTCTTTCTTTCCAGAGATAGACTTCTGTGCCTCACCTAATCATGGATGTCAACACGAGTGTGTTAATACAGGTGATTCCTATTCCTGCCGCTGCTTGAAAGGCTTTACTCTGAATCCAGATAAGAAAACCTGCAAAAGTAAGTTGTTCTGCTAAATGCCCTGCTAGTTTTCCTTTTAAGTTCCTTTGCAACTTCTCAACAAGGCATACTGAAGTTCCACATTTGTATTTATTAACATCATTCTCCTCTTTGATGTGAAGGAAGATGGCAAATAAGGCCCCGGGGCATCCCTGAAGCATAGATGTGGTCAGCAAGGTGATAGCAAAGATGTAGAATGAACTTGAAAGCTGGTCATCGGTTATATCAAAGGACTTGACCAGGAATGTAGACCATAGACCCCAAGTGGGATCTCTTTAAACCAGATTATCTCTGAGATGCCACAGAATGGAGGGTCCGCAAGGACAGTGGTTACCTCTTTGTCACTCTTGAATTACCAATGTGTCAAAGAGGATTATAGGTGCAACCCACTGTTTGCTGAATGAATGAGTAGATGAATTACCCCGAGATTGACCATCTTGAGAAACTGCATGATTTGAATTAATCATGGCAGAAAATAGACCTTTTAAGGCATAAAAACGAAGCTTTTCCAAATGTATTCCCATAGTACATACTATACACTGAGTTGTATTTTCCTGATGGTATTGTTCAAAGAACTCTCATCTAATGGTGTATTTTCCTATATGCTTCTCTACCCACGTCTTCCTGGTAATATGCACAACTATTTTCTGCATCATTGCAGTGAATTTTCAAAAGTTTGACCATTTCTCTCTTTTGAAAAGCACTGCTGGCTGTGTAACTGAATCCAGGCAGACCTCATTCTACTAATAGCACATTCTTACATACTTATTTTAATACGGTAGGCCTTGTGTGGTGGCAGGTGGTTGCACAGAAGATATTTTGAAACTGAGCCTCCCTTATAAAATTCCCATTCCTTTCCTGCATGTAAATCTGGAGACAGTAAGTGAAGACTTTATTTGGGCGATTTCCAAATGTGAAAACAATTAGATGGAGTGTTTTCCATTAGCCCACACATACATCCAATATGTTGGAGAGTCAATTTTTCTGGCCTGTTGCCTCCTTTTTGTGCTACTAACACACCTTTTTTTTAAGCACGAGTGACAAGGACTGACTACACCCAGGGAACACTCCTACAGGTGGACTCATTTATGAACCATAAGCTCTTAGAGGGGGGAAAATTGAATCTAGCTCAACCCAGACACTTATTATGTCTGCAAGCTTCATTGTGTGCTACTAATGGAAGGGAAGGAGACAGATTAGTCCTGTGGTACCCGGTGAGGGGGAATTTGCTCAAAGTTCTGAAGCTCTTACCCCACATCCATGATTCCCTCCACATCCTGCCTGGAGAAGCTCTGGAACCAAGGCAGTAGTTTGACAAATCAACCCCCAGGCAGGACTGTTTACAGGCTATGGCCCAGTCTAGTGTCTGTACTGCTTAGTCATATATATGTATTCAACGATTAGAGCCCTGTTTCCTCTTTAGCCAGGCACCCTACTTTTTCATCCAAGAAAAATGCAATTTTTTCCTAAAACCCATTGTCCTCATCAGCCCTTCTCCCAAAACCCTGCCTTATCATTACATTTTCCATTGTGCTCACTTGCACGCCCAGCCCTGGACTCCTGAGGTCAGTCTCTAAGTGCTGCCCCTGACTTCATGTTTGCACTCAGTCCATTATGGCAGACAGCTGCTCATGGAAGTAAGCACTCATTGTCTCTCTGGAGCATTCCATGGACGAAAAAACCAAAGAAAGTGGGTTTAAAAATCTGGAGTTTGTTACTAGGAGTCTGAGGATCTTGCAAGATCTTGAGAGCATTAAAAATCCCCAACTCAGGGTACAGTCATTTACATTTAGTAGGCAGGTGATGGATGTGGACTATTTTCAAATCTAATAAGTATCCTTTTTAAAAAGGAATTTGATGTTACCCATTTAAACTGGGGAATAAAATGTGCAAGGCAGAATCCTACTGAAGAAAAGACTCTTGGCCAGGATTTGTTCTTCCTCCTCATCTAGGCAGAGTTTCTCCTTCTGGAAAGTGCTGTCATCGATATAAAGCATAAATTATTAAGGCGGTGGTGCAAGTTAGAAATTGGGTCGGGCCTGGCTGCCTAGGTGGGGCTCCAGGGTAAAATCAGATATGGGCGTGGCCCTGTGTGGGCTCCAGGATTGCTCATGCTGGCACAAGTCTGGAGCTCCCTGTAGCTGGAGACAACTCACTTCACAGAGCTGGGTGGGGCTGAGCCAGGAGATGTGAGGTCCAGTCTTGGCAGTGTCATCCACATGGCCTGTGTGACCTCGGATGGATGGCTTTACTTCTCCAGGTCAGGACTTCCTGGATCATCCCTGTACCACAACTTCCTGCTGCAAATTTTATAGCCTGTCCAATTTTTCTGAAACTATGCCACTCAATTGGCATTGTAATTTACTATCTGGAGTTCATTTATCTTTCCCATTTTTTCATCTTACCTTCTTTGTGAGCTCTCCACTCTTTTGTGAATTGGTACACAGAGGTGCTGTTCAGTTTGTTGTCTGACAGTTCTGCCTTCTGACCTCAAAAAGGGTTGCTGGACACTGGGCTCATCATATAAAGTTACATTCAAATTTCAAGCTTGTAAGGAGACAATTGAACCAGATATGGGGTGCATAGTATATCCAGGAACACTGATTAAATAAATAAAATGAGCAAATGAATAATTAATAGAGTCACAAAAAGTGTGACTTAAGTGTGTAAAGAAGATCTATAGTTAAACCTCTGCTCTATAGAACTATTTGGAAGTGTCATTTTTTGCTTGCAAGCAAGAGTTGGCAATGGGTTAGGACACAGCACTGCAAGCTGGCAGCAGCTGCTCTGTGTGAGTTAGGTCCCCAGTTCAGAGGTGACCCACATGGCACAACAGACCTCTCCTGACCCGCCCACTGGTGCCCTCAGGAGTGTACTTTGTCAGTTGGCCTGTTCTGCTCCCCACTCTGTTTCTAGTGAATCCTCTCACTGCCCTTGCACCTCTGACTTGTACCCCATCCTGTATGCATAAATAAATAAATAAATCTTTTTTTTTTAAAAAAAATGAAAATTGTGAAAATGTATATAACGTAAAATTTACCGTCTTAGCCATTTTTAGATCAGCAGGGTCACACAAAACAGGAAATCCGAAGAATGGTGTCCTAAGTCATTTAAGAACATTTACATTTGTCAGAGGTGGTTTGTCCTGTGTTGGTGCAATGATTTAGGAATGTTATGGAGACTCCAGATGCTTTCTAGCCTTCTGCTTTACCTCATGGCTGCCACAGCTCCCAGCATCTCAATTTCTCACTGCTAAATCCAAGAGGAAAGGAAAGAGCAGAAAATGGCATTTGTCTTCACACATATTTGTCTTTTCAGGAAGTAAAAATCTTTCCTCTGGTTCCCAGCAAGTATCTGTTAATTCTCTTTGTCCAGTACTATGGCATATTCCCATTCCTAAACCAGTCACTGACAAAGAAGAACCTGGTTGTCAGGCTAGTTTAGGCCAGTCATGATTCATGCCTTGAGGGTCAGTGTTCCAGCACCAAAAGACAATAATTGTTGGTAAAGCAATGAACAGTTTCCACACCCCCAGAATTAAGAAAATGTAGCTGAACTGATCCAGCTCAGCCCCTGAGGTTGGCAGTAACCGTTTCTCCTCCCAACATCAGTCTCTAAACACTTTCCACATGCATTTATTTCTTTATACAATTCTCCATCTGCCTTGTAATCTGCTCTGTGGGGGGTCGTGTGCTTGTAGCATTTTCTATCAAGAAATGGAACTGCTAATTTGCTGCTGGAACCACCTAGGGCAGCATCAAGGCGCGTTTTCTCTCTTCTTAATGTGGAGGCATGATGATCCTTCCCAGAGCACCCACCATTCCACTTCTGGACGCTTCTTACTGTAACTGCCATTTCCCGCCTTTCCCTAATGGCCGGATAGTTTGCAAGGTTAGCTTTTGTTTATTCTGCCTTGTGTTGCTGGTGTCACTGTCAGATATCACTGGCAAACAGTGGCTCCCTGCCTACTGTGAGCCCTACTGATAGGTTAATGCAAAGAAGAGACTGATGAGATTTTCTCAATGCTTCCATCTTTCTTGGAAAAGGTGATTTAGATCTGTGACCTCAACCCAAAGGGGAGAAAGAACAATACTGGAGAATCCGGAGGTTCACGCCAAGCCCTGGGTTCTTTTCCAAACAAGCTCCCAGACAGCAGGAGCTATTTTCTCTGTCCTTAGAGCACCTTATTAATGTGCTCTGAGTATTACAGTGAGGAGCTGAACTCATAGCCCTGGAAGAAGCTCAGAGCCTGAAGGAGGGTGTGCCTTTTCTGCCCTCAGGGATCAACTACTGTGCGCTGAACAAGCCAGGCTGTGAGCACGAGTGTGTCAACACAGAGGAGGGTTATTATTGCCGCTGTCGCCGGGGCTACACCCTGGACCCTGATGGCAAGACGTGTAGCCGTGAGTATACCCCGGGCAGGGTTACTGAAGGCAGGGGGCTCATGCAGGCCCCCATGCTCACTGGCAGCCTTCACTTCTGAGGTTCCTGGGTTTCTTATGGGCTGGCTGTTCCATCCGGCTCTGCCTTCCTTGCAGTGGCCTCATTGATAAAATGTGACTATTAATACTACTGAGTTCATCGATGAGGCTATGAAGAGTAAAGGAATCATTACCTCTAGAGCACTTGGAAAGTACTGCGAGCCATGTAATAAAGCACTCACTATACAGAAACTGGTATTTTTTGCTGTTGAGAACATTGACAAAGTCAGACCAGCCCGAATCCAAATCTGAGCTCTACCTCTCACTAGAGGTATGACCTTGGGCAGATGGTGTGGTTTCCCCAGCTGCTTAAACACAGTTTTGACTATTAGGGCTCTTCAGGGGAATAGTCAGGACCGCTGAATCTCAGAGCACTTGCCTGGCGCTAGGAAAGCCTACAGTTAAGAAGAACCTGCCGTTCGTTACCTGTCGCAGTGCCTGGGAAAATGAGCTGTAGCTATTCCTGGTTGGGACAAGAAGCCAAAAGGGACAGAACACAGAAAGCCCTTGGCTGATTTGAGGGCACAGCTGAGAAACATGGGGCTTTTTGTGAAGCCTTTTCTTAATTTTCTCATGTAAGATCCACAACAAGGCTCTATTTGGTGATGTAAATGCATGGAAACTTGTAGGCTCTGCCAGCTGGACGGTTCCATCAAATTTTATGAGGCACTGTCTCCACTGGGCCAGGCCAGCAGGGATGGGGGTGCGTGATGCCGTGGGGGGTGCCTGTGACCCTGGTGTGCTGGGAGAGGGGCTTGGTGACATGGCTGGTGTAGAAGAGGCCCTTTGTGTGGCTTTCCACCCGGAGGCACACATCTGCTTCAGTTTGGGGACAGAGATAGATTGTGAGTGAGAACAGTGCAGCTGTTCAGCATCTGGCCCCTGCACTTCCAGGAAAGGACGTTTTGCAGATGAGGTTTTAGGTACAGAGCAGTTCTCAGGAAAACCCATGCCATTTCATTCTTCAGAGGAAACAAAGGACATCAGTTTTGCTTTCCAAGGACTGACTTTGGAGGCCAAAGACCTTTTGAACCAAAAGTTGGTCCAAAAGTTAAGGAGCCCTTACGAGAGGTGTGGGTGGCAGGAGGTGTCCCATTGCTGAGAACATGGCCTGCTTCTGTATAATTCTAGGAGTATGGTGGGTTCTGCCAGCTCATGGCCCAGAGCAGACTGGACATGACCTAGCTGAGTCCACCTAGAGCCCCCTGGGGTCAGGGCCTGCCTTTCCCTCCCAGCATGCCTTAGGGGAGCTTAGGAGGTCTTAGAGGAGGGGGTCAAAGGAGATCCCTTTGACCATCCCTTCTCTCTAGGACCTAATGAGGAAAACCACCCAATCCGCTTTAAGAAAGTATAAGCCAAGCCATTTATTTTTAAGAATCCCCAGAGAAAGCCATAGTCCCCTTAAGGGATCAGGGTACTTCTGGGCCACTTGGCAGCCCGCCCTTGTAAGTCGCTCCCTCCGTGTGGTGCTCCTGTGAGCACTGTCCTAGCCCTCACTCTCTCCTGGCGACAGCCCGGTGAGGCAGCTACGCTCTCACCCTGTGTAAAGATGGGGAACCTGGCATAAAACGATGGAGCAGCTTTCTCAGGGTCACATGATTGATGAATGGAGAAACCAGGATATGAATGTAGACATCTGGGCTCCTAAGATCATGCAAGTATTTGCAGTAGGCACATCTACCAGTGGAATGTCCTGCAGTCCTAGTGCCAGACCTGTGGGAGTAAAAGAGGCCCCCTTGATGGCTCTGTACAAGGCCTCCAGTGTCTCTGCAGCCTAGGGGGGCCTTTTCTCCATCACAGAATCTGGGAGCAGCCTGCAGCGCTGCCTGTGGGATTGCACCCCCAAGGCTGTGTGTGCAGGCTCCTTCAGTGCCCATCACCCGGACCCCGTCACACATGCAGGCCCAGGTTGTAGCCAGTTTCTGGATGTGGAAGTGGTGGCAGCGGCGAATACTTTTTCTATTTGCTTTCAGATATAGAAGAGATGAAACTATGTAATGAAAATTACTCAGTACTTACTACATAGTATTATTCTTATTCTTATTAATTAGCATCATTAAGAGGTTACTGTATGCCAGCTATTGTTCCTGGCTACTGTTCTGCAGGCTTAGCATTTATTGGCTCCTCTACTTCTCACCACATTGACCTCAGAAAACAATTATCCTGATTCCTTCAGTGGGGAATGATGACCCAAGAGGGGCCAAGTGGCCACCCAGTATCTCCTGGCTAGGAAGTGGTGAAAATGGGATTTGAACTGGAGTCCTTACTTTTTTTTTTTTTAATTTTTTTTTTACATCGTTTTCATTTTGTGCATTTTTCCATCTCAGTTGTAATCCCCATGGGCTTCCCACCACCAGTTCACCCATGTGCCATCACCACAGTCCAGTGCACTCTTCCCACCCCAGTTCTGATTGCATTTCTTCCCTAACACTCCCATAAAATGTCTCCGGAGCCCTCACTTTTAAGCACTGCTCTGCCAGCTGCAGGGCTATGGGCAGGAAGCTGGTCTTCCCAAACCTCCCTGTCCCCTCACTGTTGGCAGTGATTGTGGCCGACGTGCTGCAGTTCACTACACCAGTGACAGGAATTATCTTGTTCTTTCCCAACAAGAACATGGGATTAGATTAGAAAAGAGCGATGCTGACTTTCCAGAGAGGCCAGTGGCGCAGGGTAGCATGAAGCTTCCTCCTGTGGCCAGTTGGGCCAGTGAAGTAAAATGGTTCCTCAGGAACTCTCCCCTGAGCGAGGTCTGGGCGGTTAGTTGTGTCACTGGTGGCAACGCCCCCGGCTGTGTCTCGTGTAACACAGGGGTGGATCACTGCGCGGAGCAGGAGCACGGCTGTGAGCAGCTGTGCCTCAACACCGAGGAGTCCTTCGTCTGCCAGTGCTCTGAAGGCTTCCTCATCAACGACGACCTCAAGACCTGCTCCCGTGAGTGCCTCGCCACGCTTCTCTCTGAGGAAGGGGATTTGCAGAAGTGTGATGGCGCTACCCCTCTTTCCTTTGCCATTTTCGCTACTTCTGGGAGAGGGGGGGGGATGTCTGCTGGGGACTGCATGCCTTCCAGGGGTGGGGGGGGGGGGGGGGGGGCTAGAGCAAGATGACCTGTGATTCCCACGCTCAGAGCATCATTGAGCTCTCACCTGGCTCTTGGGTTTTGCAGGGGTGGACTATTGCTTGCTGAGCGACCATGGCTGCGAATACTCCTGCGTCAATACCGACCGATCCTTCGCCTGTCAGTGTCCCGAGGGACACGCACTCCGCAGCGATGGGAAGACCTGTGCCAGTGAGTGTTCTGAGGTCTGGAGACAAGAAGGGTATGGCACAGGCGCTTGATGGCAGGGTTGTGCACCCCTACATAGAGCCTGAGAGCATCTGGGTTTCACTGGGGCCCATGTTGTGCTTGTGTGTAAATTTCTCTGGGGGTTTCAGCCCTGGTACTGCTACCACTGTCCGCCCCACCCCCACCCCCAGCTTCTTCCCCTATGCCCTAAGATGGTGTTTTCCTATTTCCAGTCTTCCTGGCTTTGAAGCTAGCTAGAGCCCTAATTCTTGACTCTTTCTTCCCTGCCCCTAGTCTGCCAGGAAAATGGTAGTCAGAGGGCACTACACAAGAATAAGGTATAAGGTTACCCATAAGGAAAGTGATTTCTTGAAGATCAGGTGCTAACCTTAGGCACACACTCCTCTCCACTACCCATGGAATCCCCATCTCACTATGAGGAAACTGCAGATGAGAGTCAGTGAAGGGCCTATGGTCACCAGCAATCAAGAGCAATCAAACTCTGCTCTGTGTGACTTTAAATTCAGTTCTGGAAGAGGGTCCCGAGAAACTGCCTCATTTCTGAAGCAGGTGATAAGGTGGATGGTGAGGTTCTGAGCATATTATTTATTTCCCTGCAGCTTGTCCCAATTCCTATCTTCATTAATTGAGAAGGAAAAAAAAAAAAAAGGCTTCCAGACCTCCTTTACCCCTTCACCCAAAAATGCCACCCAAGGAGCCCCAGTGCTCAGTAGATGAAAGTCCCCTCAGAAGGGCAAGAAGCAGATTTGAGGCCTGGGTTGGGGAGAAGGCTGGGATAGGCCCAGGAATCGGGAGGAAGCTCTTGGGAAAGAGGATTGGGGGTGGCTACCCTTCTCCCAGAACAAAGGCTGTTTTCTTCCTTGCAACCCTGTTGCCAATTGGTCCAAGATAAAGACTTAAAAAATAGTTAGAGAGTAGGCATCAGAAATGGCAGAATCAGACTGTAATTTGTCTTCCACATCCTGCTAGTCTTTTGGTTACAGGCCCAAGTTTCCTGATCACTGTATCCACCTTTATTCCATCCATTCACATGGGCAGGGTTGCTGAGGGCACAGCAGTTATGTCTCTCTAACTGTGCGTTCTGGGAGCAAATGTCTCACCAATTTATGATGCTCTTTAGTCTTAGCAAATGATTTACCCATCTTATGGTTTGTGAGTGACTGCCTGCCCACCTGCTCCAGCTGGGCATTAGGGGTGCAGAAAGAAGGAGGGTGTGTCTAATTGCATCTACATTTGACTGTATGCCAAAGCCAGATGACCATTTTTTATTGGTTGGGTTTAAATCTCCATGATCTTAGATTATTCATGCCTTTCCTTTGCCCTCCCCATCACTGTGATTATGAAGATCTATATGACGGGAACAAGCTTTCTAGGAACTTCTCATGGCCCTTTCACACACACTCCATCCCGCTTCTTACAATCACATGGCCATCCTGCTGCCCCAGGATTATGCCACTGATGCTTTGAAATGTTGCCCATTTTCTCACTTAAAGGAAGTTTTTAATGAATGGTACAGTGATAGCACTGTGAGTAAACGTTCAGCAGTGCAATTTGAAGTGAATTTCAGTGAGTATATATTTACATATGACTGCGTCTAAGATGCTCCAGGCCATACATGTATACTATTTCCCTAATTGGAGAGTCTCTGCCTCCCCAGGATGTCTCAATCTGGCTGCCTGGTCCTGTAATGATGGGCCAAGTTTGCAGTGTGGCCCTAATTAGCTGGGGGTTAGTATGCCCGCTTCCCAAATGACAGAGAGCCTGAGGATAACTCTGTGCCTTCGTTGGGTAAGCCTGCTGGTCTCTGGATGGGGGAGCAAGATGGGGTCCATCAGGCCTGCCTTAGCACATAAGGTGTCCTTGATCCTTCAGGAAGGCAGCCTCCTCTAACCTGGTTAGCAGGAAGTCTGAAGAATCCTTCACTTGCCTTCAAGATAGTTCTCTGAAGCTTGGAAACAGGTCCAGGTTTCCAGGTTGTGGAACAAAGTGGGTGGAGTGGGGAGCATAGTCTGTGTCATCATGCAGGGCTGCTTGGTGTGAGCACTACAAAAACTGTAGCCCCAGTCCCAATGAGGGACTCATTCATCTGTGGACCTGGCTCTTTAAGTGTGACAGGAAGAAGATCCTTCTATTGGAGGAGTCCAGCTTTCTTCCTGCATCCCGAGATTGCTCTCACCCATTTTAAGTGATGTTTCCCAATCCAGGTCATCTCACATCTCACTCTGATCTCTGGATTTGAATCTAGCCATTCTTTAATAAGCTTTTGATTTGTTATTCTCATTCATCACAAGTAATTACTGCATGACCTCAGTGAGCTGGGCATGTTGTATTGGCATGTTGCTGGGGACACAGGTGTCATTTCTGTCTGAACAGAAATGAACTTTCTCAGGGAAGAAAGATACTAAGGTCATGCCATGAGAGCTGGGATGTGAGAGAAGAGGTGTAACAGGAGCATGCGGTAGGGAGATCCTCACCTAGTCTAAAAAAAGTCTTATAAGAGATATTTCTAGAAATTGATGGAGCAAGCTAGCGAGAGATGGAGAATGCTATGGTCTGAATGTTTGTGTCTTCCTCAAATTCACATGTTGAAATGTGGACTCCCAACGATGATGGTATTTAGAGGTGGGGCTTTGGGAGGTGATGGCATCATGAGGATAGAACCTTTGTGAATAGCTTTGATGAGTGTCCTTGTAGAAGAGACCCCACAGAGCTTTCTAGGCCCTTTTACCATCTGATGATACAAGGAAAAGTTGGTGACCTGGCCAAAGGTTCTTACCTGACCACGCTGGCACCCTGATCTTGGACTTCCAACCTGTAGAGTGTGAACAACTGTTTTCTGCTATTTAGCCACTCAGTCTGTGGTGTTTTAAGTACAGCAGTCTAAACTGATGAAGACAGAAAAGGGAGGTCTTTCTGGGCTTAGGAATTGACACTTGCAAGCCCAGTATCTAGAGAGTAAATGGAAAGAAGTTAAATGTGCTCAGTGCTGAGTATTGAGTGTGAGAGGCAGATTGGTGAACGAGACAGGGCGCAGCCATTCGGTTTGTATTCAACGGTTTGGCAGCCTGGCCTTCCTTGAGAAAGCAATTTTAACTTGCTTTCTGAGAATCTACCAACCTGTCTGAGTAGACAGTACTAGAATGGCCACTGAAAGTACAGTTAGAACAAGGAACAGTTTCCTCCACTTGAAAATGAAGGAATTAGACTGTTCTACCTCTAAGAACCCTTTCCAAACCCAAAATAAGCTTAGTACCTGAGAAGGTCTCCATAAACATTGCTGAGTGAATGAACTCCTTGTAGAGCACCCACCAGGCAAAAGGCAGTCATGCTAATGAGTCAGGGTGGTAACTGACTTTGTCCATTAGGGAGCCACTGAAGATCTCTCCTTACACTGGGAGGAGTCCAACTTGGTTTTCAGACCTGGGTGACTAGAAAGCAGTTAGGTCTATTGTACTACCTGGGGCTCTTCCACATGAGAGGCCCAGAGCATCTCCACATGTAGAAGCATGTAGTGTGTGGGAGAGAGAGAGAGAGGAGCTAGCTGATCACCAGCATCCACACACCCTGGTTCTCACTTAAAAATCTGCACAAAACCCTAGGAGGGGAGCTCTAGTTAGCCTCACCTTCCAGGGTGGAAAACCTAAGAAATAATTTCCTTTTATCAGCAGGTATTTCCTGGGGGTCTGCCGTTCGCTAGATGCAGGACAAGGGATGTGGAGAGTGGGCAAGAGGAAGCTATGGGGCAGGTCCTGCGAACCCTGCCAAGGGCTCTGTGTCTCGTCGTAAAACTCCCACATTTTATTAAAGGACCTCAGGTAGAAAGGGAGTGATGTGAGTGGATTCCCAAGTTGGAAAGTGGACTCAGAAGGAATCATGAGGGGGTGACTGGAGGACATGAAGATGAGTGTGTGGGGAGCAGTTAACAGATGACGCGACACCCCAAGATAAAGGGGGTGGTGCTTGTTTTATGATGGTGGAATGCGCATAATCTGGGTTGGGAACATCTCTGAATATAGGGCCTGGGTCCACAGCCAGCCTCAGATTCCTGGTGGTTTATTGGAATCATTTTGGAGGCTTTTAAAAGATGTAGAACCTCAGGCAGCCCCCTTACATGTGACGGATGTAACAGCTTTTTTTTTTTTT